ATTTCTGCCGACAAGCAATAATGAGCAGCACTGAGTTTCGGTTTGGAAGAGCGAGGGTGCTGGTGAAATTACGGGCACACGGGACTTGTCGACTTATCCCGTGAATGTGACGAGGCAGTGCAGTAAGGAGTTTTCTAACGGTGCAGTTTAATTTCCGAAGCAATCCGTTTTCTGACTCGAACCAACCACTATACTTGCTTGAGATAGATTATTGTTTTTATTTTATGGAAACATTATGAGTAGAAAGTAGAGACCCTGTTTTTGAATACATGTATGGAAGTTAGGTAATTGTGAGATATTAATGAGACTAGTTATATTTAGAAATCCTCTTCAAAGCTTGTATTTCAATTTTTGTCAAGAATAATCCCACTCTGCTTTCAACAAAATGGAAAAAATACGGCTAAATGAAAATGAATTTGCAAAATTTTAAGTGGTGTGCAAGAAAACCGGTTATCTGAAACCCATTGAACATTTCAAGCTTTAAAAATTCATTCACGAGAGATAAAATAGTGCAGCAATTGGTTTTTAGCACAGTAAGAACAAAAACTAATTCTCTGAAAATCGTGTATGTACAGTATAGGCTCTCGGGCCCTTACATTTTCTGAAAGCTCTTCCCGAGACTAAGGGCACTCGGTAATAAAAGCCGTGTTCGAAGCCAATTACTGCGGCGAGAGGTCCAAGATTATATACAAAATGTCAATTTTTAAGGTTTAGCCATGCCCTAAGTGGATTGTGCACGTTTTTGGAATTTACATATTGTGTTCATAAAAATCTCGAATTTTTAGCAGCAGTAGTGCTCGTTGTGAAAAAGTCCGTCCATGAAAGGACTTACTGCCACCTTACCTATTTCTGCCGCCAAGCAGTAATGTGAGCATTACTGAGTTCGGGATTGAAGGGTAAGGGTGCTAGTGAAATTACGGGCACATGGGGTTTGTCAATTTGGGTGACGGGCGCAGTGGCAGTGCTACTCAGATCTTTGTAAAAAAAATCACTGTTGGAATTATCCCGCAATGATCTTGCCTCTGTGGGGATTTTTGTAGTAAAACTTTACCGTTTGTATAGTGGAAAAAAAGAAACTGCAGTCAAATAAATAATCTTCTTGTCAGACATTCATTCTTGAAGAAATGAACACAATTTACTGCAGAATTCAAACAAAATTTACCTCTTTCAAGTCTCTTTGACACAGATGTAGCATAAAATACTTACGGGGCTTAACCTGACAGATATCCGCCAGACGCTCGGATAAAAATAGAACTGAGTATTTTTAACTTGTACAAAATTTCCAGATTAAATTTTTCATGTAATGCGCTGGAAGATTATGCAATTCATTCAGAGTATCGTTTTTAACTGAGCCTTTGAGCTTTATGTGATATTTTTCTTAAGTAAAATGTATTTTTTTAAATATGTATTTATGTCTTGCTTTCTTACACAGATCGTGTACGAAAACAATAACAAATAACTCTTATATTTATCACACTTCTTATAAAATCACAAACAAATGGAATCTAGTAGCTTTAGTAGCAGTAGATCTCCTTGTGAAAGAGTTCGTTCAGTTCGTAGAAGTACGGCCACTTTATCTATTTCTGCCACCAAGCAGTAATGTCAGCATTACTGTGTTCCTGTTTTGAAGGGTAATATGGTGCTCGTGAAATTACAGGCACATGGGACTTGTCAACTTATGTATCAGGACGACAGGCGCAGTGGCAGTGCGCCTCAGATGTTTGCGACTTAAAGAGCTGAGTGGCACTGCAACTGTTATGGACAGGCGTGTAACTTACCATCAGGCGCACGACTTGTTGGTCCCGTCACTTGATATTATTTAAAAAAACCTTTTTAATGCAAGTGAATAGGGACTTTTTACATATGCGTGCTCCATCCTATATTGTTACTTTTGATTAATTTACTTTGTGATCAAATGTTGACTTATTTATATATATACATATATGTTTCTTTGTCCTATATGCTTTCCGTTATTATTTATCCGATAGCGATAAAACTTTCGTAAGTACTTTTGAAGTATTTAATGTCACTGCTGGCAGGCAAAGGAGGCCTGTACAACGTATCTAAAGAGGAAACCCTACATAAAGAGATAAACCTTTCTAAACAGACAGTTAAGGCCTTAATATAAGTATTATTATTCATCCGAGTGTGATAAAACGTTCGGGTGTTGTTGTGCATATGTCCGCAAAAGTTTCTAAAGTATCTGATCTCACTGCTGGGCATGAAAGTCCTGTAAAACTTCTCTAAATGGAAAACGTCTCTAAAGGAAGGGTAAGGTCATATTATGTACATAAATATGTCTGAAGCAAAAGTGTCTGAAGCAATTAGATCGAACTTCACGGATCGCGTCTCGAAGAGTGTTTAGACGTAGTAGGTTTTCAGTGGCATTGTAACGCATACCTGGTACAGCCAGTAACTAAGAAATTTGTCCCTTCATTACATACTCGTACCTGTGAAAATCAATAGGAAATAATTTTTATAGGTGTTAGCAACGTATCCAAACGTAAAACAATACATAAAAGTTATTAAATGGATGTTATTAAATGGATACTGGATTGCTAGTGGCTATTAAAATCCCATACGCTCGGACGGTTCTACTGCGTCATTGCTTGCTGCATCACAGTGCCTTTTGACGTCATCAGCGGCCACTGCTTTAACTCTTAAAAAATATTTTATAATCCGATTTCAATGGCTATAACCTTATAACACGCATGGCTATTATTTTCAGGACGCTTTAAAAGAATAAAAAATCTTCAATAAGATACATAATATATGTATAAAACGTTCACTTGGCATAATAAAGGTACATGTGATGTTTTTATCAATTGAAAGTCATAAAAATAATTCGAACTGCTTGAAACAAGTTATATGTAGGTATGTGACATTTTATAACTCTCCTTTTTCAGCATAAAAACATAATCGACTAACTTCGTTTGTAGAATTTTCAAACCTCATAAATAGTTATCATTTTGCAGTTGTGGCCATATCATTGTTGTTATTTTTCTCGAAAGTTTTCCAATTATAATTTGAATACATTTTTATCAGTAGCGCTTTAGCATTTATTGCAAATTTTCATTTCTAGATCATGAATGGAACTGGAGCTTAAAGTTTAATTTCGTAATTTTTCAAAGACCATAATGTAAGCTGCATAAAATAAAAGAAAGAGCTGAAACAGCAAACAAATTCGCAAAAGGCAACTGGCAATTAAAAACCTACGGTCGACCGACAGGATTGCGTCACTGCGTCACAGGTGCCAGTGACGTCACGGGTCAATGCCGCATACGACTATGAATAAAACTTTGTCCGTATTTTACTAATTGAATTTTCGTATTGCACCGTAGTTAAGTCAACAACTTTTTCTGAACATCATCAACCCATTTATACGTCCCACTGCCGGGCACGGGTTTCCTCTCAGGCGAGGGTTTAGGCCATTAGTTGAGAACTTCAGTCGTTTTCTAAGGGTTGTGAACCTTCTGCGACGTGCAGGTTTCACGGAAAAGTTCATGGTACATTCCAAATTAAATTTCGCACATAAATTCCGAAGTGCAAGCCCGGATTCGAACCTACGACGGCCTCTGCTTGAGAGGCAGTAGGCCAAAACATTAGGCTACTACGGCTTTTCCTGAACAGGTAACAAACATTATTTACGATAAAAAAATACACATTTTACTTTGTAATAAACTCGCACTGAATAATCCATATAGGTTGAAATGTTTTAAAATTAAATTCAACAATAGTGGTGCTAGTTTGTGTTCATGTTTTGACTCGGTATGGTATTTTTAAATTCGCTATTTGAATTGGCACTTTGTGATACCAAAATACACTTTGTTTTGGTGTTTGTGCATGTATGTGTAAGTTCACAAAATATTGATAGTCTACTAAAATAAATTTATAGATTTTGAAGCCTTTAGTACCGCTAGCTGAAAAGGTTTTAATTAAATAGTATTTATTGTACCACAGACTGTAAATAAGGTCAACAATTATTTAAACCACCTAATTCATTTGATGTTGCTATTTACTCACCGCGTGTTTATGTAAATGATTAACTGATAATTGACTACAGATTAAACAAAGCCATTAATAACACAGTGCCGGCTGCTTACATAATTAATTGAGGTACAGACGGCAGCACATCAAGCTACACATAGATGGATCTTGTTCCGTTGCACTGGAGGCGACATTCGACTAAATGTGTATACCTTGACGTATTATTGACTGTACATTTTAATAAGATTTTGTAACATTTGTTGCTAAATTTATTCCCTAGACAGAACGGTGAAATTCAAAAAATATATATTCTCTCTTTATAATAATAGATTAGAAATTACACAGTTCTCGTAATGAAACGGAAGCGGCTGCGGAAGTGGGAGTGTAAATACTATAAAGATATCAATGAAATTGTTCCAAATAGGGCTTGGTTTTGGTTTCAGTGCACTTTGCACCACGCATAACTGCTGAGTCACGGACATTGTACATTTCCGATTAAAATTCCGTTATAACTTTGGCGGAAGCAGAAACAGAAAAAGCACGCGGAACTTCCGCAGTTACGGATGCAGAAGCAGAGGTCTGTTGAATCTCTACACAGTTCTTAACAAAATCTATTAAGTTGTATAGTTAATTAACTGTCTGTAAAATTTCTTGCAACGTGTACGTCGGAAATGCAACGGCTAATATTCTTAACTTTCTATACGATTATACTTTTGCTGATTTCGACATAAACATAAGTAACGATCTATAAACGATATTAGGCGCAGTGTAATGTGTAATTTGATTTATTGTTGAAGTAAAGAAATTCATTGTAAACGAATTTGCAGGCAAGCCGTGATAGCCTACTGGTTTGACCTCTGAGTTTCTTGGAATTTAAGTGCGATATTTAATTTGAAATTTAGACATATAAATGGGTTGATGATGATGATAATGAATTTGCACCCGCAAAACTCTAACTCACACCCGTGAGTTACTTAAATTTGTTAGTTTTAAAGTGAATTGTGTTTGTACAGGTGACCTGCCACGGCCGCGCAGCAAGGGCGAATATGTGTTCGTGATAGCACAGCTCCTGTTCGGGCTGCTGCTGTTCGCCACTGTGCTCGGTCATGTCGCCAATATCGTCACCTCGGTCAGCACCGCACGGAAGGAGTTCCAAGGTAAGTTCCTTGATGTATGAAAAATAATGTCGTCCTCCAAGACTACGGTCACACATTACTGTATTAATGTCTAACATGCATTTGGAAATTTTGTCGGATAGCGATTTATAGTTACTTGTTATGCAACGCTGCAAAGTTATTGCTTGACGCGAGTGCTTGTATTAAAAGCTGAGCAAGCGAAGGATACTAAGATTGTAGTCTGATGTAGTATTTAAAAATAGAACCCTGAGCATAGCGAGGCTTTCAAGGTACGAGACGCAAAACAACTTTGCTGCTTGCTTTGAAACACACAACTTTTCACCTCACTACAGCGAGGAAAATGGTGGATGAAAGAAAAACAGGTGAACTGTAACAATCAGTTTTAATAAACAAAATTAGTTGTCGTTGTCAATTTAATGTCTATAATATATAATATAAGAATAAAATATATCCACAGATTTATATTACTTATAATAATGTATGACAAATCGCGTAGTTGAACGTGTCATTATACTTTTTTTTCATCGAAAGAACTTTTTGCACCCAAGGTGCACCGCAGTCCAACGTCGTTTTCCAAATTCAAAAACCTTTTCTACGCTAGCGTGCAGAAAACGCTTTTGCGCGCAGATTTCTAATGAGATAGAAAGCCTTTCCGAGCTAGTGAGGTGAAAAAGTATTTATTTTAAGAAAAAAAATCATAACCTTCATGTTATTTGTTGTGTGGAAAAGCTGAAACTATCTATTTTTTTATATAACAAATAAAATTAGAGTTACGATTTTTGTTTGTTCAAAAATTCTTTAATACGTTCACCAGTAATATTTTCCAAATGCACGTTAGACGTTTTACCTTTCCAGGGTTCATATATTAATTAAGTATATCAAATTAAACTTTTATGAATATAAATAATATATTATAAAACCAAATTTAATAAAATTGCAACCAATACTGCAATACTTATAAGTCATCGGGTTGAAATCTGGGTTCTTTTATCTCAGTTCATAAACTATATTGTATATTGACATCTACGGTAAATGTATTTTCGTGCTAAATAAAGGGAATAGAATGATAATAGTCGAACAGAACTTTGAAAACATAACTTTTTTTCCAAAGTTCTATTTGTAAAAAATTAAAAATTTTATGACGTGAAAATAAAAATTCGATTAACAAAGTCGTAGGTTGTAAGTATTTTAAGTAAAATACCTATATAGTTATCCTAATCCACACAATATGATCACCTTAGAGAACTAGCAAGATCGGACCTCTGGGACTAAGTGTCAATGCAAGAAATAACTGAAACTAACATCTGTAAATCAGTTACGGAAGCGTTGTTTCCCTTGAGTGTAGTTTTTTTAGGGCGGATATTTTCGAAAATATCTGTACTCCTTTTTGCGCTGTATCAATTAATCTCTTGGACAATATTTTTATAAAAACGAAGCAACTACTTGTTTCACATTAGCTCACAACGCTTGTTACATTGTAAAAATTAAAACTTCGTAATATTCATTACAATCAATATCGCTATTACATTGTCGATGAATTGGTGAACGTGTTATATACCTCTAAGATAAAAAGGGCCCGACGTTATGTACGTAATTTCTTAGGTACAAAGAGATCGGGGACATGATCATGTAGGTTTTGGCTGCAATATTCAGTTCCAGAAGATATATAATCATAATTTTTTGTAAAAGATATTCAATCGAATACATGAGAACCAAGAATTTTCATAGAACAGAAAACAGTGTTGAAGATTAGGATTATAAATTATGTGAACGTGCAAGAGGGCACAATGAGCGCGGCGCGTCGGGTGAAAGGTGGCGCACGCCGACTTACGGTGTAGCTGTCACATTAGCGTACTTAGCACGTGCTCGGCGTGCCGCGCCGTCCTTCTGTCCCTGTGCTACGTGAGTCACTCGACATCAACCACCGATGAACACTCTTTTTTTACGGTACCTAGTGATGAGACGAACAAGTCGTGCGCCTTGACACGCCTGTTTATAACAGTTGCAGTGCCACTCAGAGCTTGAAATCGCAATGATCTGAGGGTCACAACTGCGCTCGTCATCCTGAGACATAAGTTGACTAGTTCCATGTACAATTTCACCAGCGTCCTCCAAAACCGGAACTCTATAATGCGCACATCACCGCTTGGCGGTAGAAATATGTTGGCAGTACTTCCCTGAACGAACTATTTCATAAGGAGCCTTCGGCCTCCGGCCACTACACCAGTCTTCTTGCAATACTTGTAATTTAAAACATCTTGCTAAAACTTGCATTAAAAAGGAATCATGGATAGATGTTTTTTTATTGAACATCTAATTAATTCTTGAAATGAAACGAGCATTTCGTACACGGAATGCGCGGTAAAGTGTCAACAACTTTAATTAGCGCTGCAGCTTGGTTGAAAAGACAATGGCGTCATGCCGGCAGAGAGCAGGCTGAATCCGTGACCTTCCTCGGCGGCGCTGCAGCGAAATAGGTCAGCGGCTTCAATGCTATAAATAGCTCGGCGAAAGTCGGGCGCCGCCCCATCCCAGCGGGAGTGCGCGTTCCGCGCGCGTCCGTTCGCCATCGATCCACCACCGCGCTCCGTATTCTGCCAAACGCCTGCCACACAACGCAATACAGAACCTTACAATTCCACTACACCAACAAGCCCGCTTGCTATCTACGACTTCGGTACATTCATACCGAATATAACAGTCACCAGAAATAACACAACACCCAATGTCATATTTCTATCTCATCAGAAGCGATCATGCATTGCTTTACATGTTTTATTTATATGTACACGAACGAACAATATCATGATTCAAGACCAAAAATTAACTCTGTAATGAACAGGCCATTAAAAAATAGTCGAAGTGTGAAAATCATATTAACTTTTAAACTTGAACTTGAAAACATTTCCAAGGGCGCGCTGTAGTGATACGGCCCGGCGCGGCGTGAGTAAGCATCGAACACCGCGATCGGTATGGGGTCAAATTAAAAACGTTTCGCTTGAACTTGTAGTTCTTTGCGTATATACTCGTACTTACACCCATATCCATTAGTCAAAACAAGTAATATAAGTATGAGAAAACGAATGTAATCAATAATCAAATCAATGTTTGCTTAGTACATTTTTAAGTTACATTGTCAACACGTTCACTGTGCATGCATCACATGTGATGCATTTCAAGTTACAAACAATACGTGAGAGCATCGCATATGATGCACGTCACCTTTGAAACTTATGGATTTTTTTTAAATTTGCACGTGTAATCTAGACCATTTTTATTTACTTGCATGTATGAGTCACGAAAATAGAGACTATAAGCACGTGTTACCTGGTGACTTTTTAACCAATGTTGCCAGGTTGTCACAGTTAAAATAAAACACAAAAAAAATCAACATTTTTTATTTCAAGTTACAAAATTTGCATAGGACTTACGTATAAGGGACATGATAATACTCTAATCCTCTAAAGAATTCCCTAATTCGTCCACAAGATGACCGTTACTTTCTTCTAGAATTTTCCATATTTCTTCCGACGCAGATAGTGAAATCGGGTTACCTCATGCTTTCATGATAAACGTCGAGTTTGTGACACTTTGTATAATTTTTAAGTCAATGAATTTTTAACAATTTTTAATATACTTTTATTACCCTCTTCTATCTTTTCAAGGCATAGACTAAACATAAACCACAGAGATTTAACAAAAAAACATCTGCCAAAATTACTATTAATAAACGAGCATGAATTATGTATTGGCTTATTGGATACATTAAGCAAAATTACTTTTTTATTAAAAAACAAAATTATTTATTAAATTTTATTTTTATTATAAAAAGAAAATACAAATTATAAAACTAAATTAATAAACCGAATAAAATTGAGGAACTAAAGTAAAGTCAAGTAAGGAAATCATACGTGCGTGCATCACATGTGTAGCACTTGGGGGAAAACGTGAAAATGGGATAGGGGTTTCCGAAAATGATTTTTCTGTCCATGAATGTAAACAATATATACAAATTCCAACAAATTTGTAAAAAAAAATTGCAAGTGAGGGGTCCATTTCTGATTTGGAGCTGCACAGGCAACATGTATCGTTTGAGTTAATATTTGTTTTTCTTAAAGTGCGACGAGCTAAACAATTTTCAGTTTACAGCTAAAAGTCTTGACGGGACTTGGGTTCAAAACGGTGCAGAGTATGCCTAGTGGAAACCGTTCATTATTTGCTGACAAACGGAAAGCATTCTTAGCGAGTTATGGATGCGCTGCGCTAGTAGCCCACCCATAAACCCAATGTCTTATAAATTTGAGAGTGAATTATTCGTAGCTACAAAAGGTGGATGCTGTTTCATATATGGCTTACACAAATGAAAGTACTCATGGTTTACATGAGAAGACACTTAATTACGTAGCCATATGTTTTGCAACAGGCGATACAACAGTATACTTACAGAGAAACAAACGTTGTGATAACAAACTAAAGTTTCATTTTCATATTTCCCAAATCGATAAATACGAATTCCAATATGCTAAACATACAGGGTTTTTGAATAATGCAGAGGTCGTAGTTGGGGTAAGAAAATGTTTTTATCAATTTATTGTTCAGTTTAAATATCCTTTGTTCTTTTGGAGCGGGTAGCGAATGAAGCGGTGTGATAAAAACAGTTGGGTAGAGATATAAAACGGCATGATCGATGAGTTTATTCTTGACGTAGAGGGGTAACGGAGAGACTGCTACGAATGGTACTTTGGCCCGTAGCGTTTGATGTATTTGTAATGTGTTACGCAGATATGGATAGATTTATAGATTTTGAGCGTAACTTTTTAATTTTTATAACAACGTTAAGTAAGAAAGTTTTTATGTAATTTCGGTTATTTATTTCGTTCCATGGAACAAAGATCAAAATATACAGTGTATTTTGGTTTCTCTACAAAACTTAATCAATTCTTATTGATGAGTGGTGTCACAATAATACATCTTTATATTATATAAATTATTTATATGTAAAACATAGCACCTAAAAGGTT